AAGTTTTAGGAACTTAAGACTGTTCTTACAATGAAATGTGGATTGAGAAGAATACCCTTACAAATGGTGGTAGCTAATTTTGATTTTTGATCACCCCTGGGAAGATGGAACCTTAATTGAGGAATTGTTTCATTAGATTGGCCTGTGGCCATATCTGAGAGAATTTTCTTGATTGCTGAGTGATACAGAAGGCACCACGCCATTATAAGGCGCCACTGCTAGTCAGGTGAGCCTGGGCTGTATCAGAAAGATAGCAGAGCAAAGCAGGGGAACAAGCCAGTTAGCATTCTTCCATGGTCTCTTCATTTCCTACCTCCAGGTTCCTGCCTTGGTTCAGTCTATGACATGTAAGTTGGATAAACACTTTTCTTCTCCAAGTTTCTTCCAAACTAGGGTCAAAGGAATGCAGCTACTTAGAATTATATTGAAGTAATGAATCCCTTTTACAGCATATATCACATGATACTAATGACACAGGTTAGCTAATTAATACCTGTGTTCTCTGAAATGAAAAAAACCTGTGATATGGAAAACAGGTCATCACTAGTAAACTGGAGGGAAAAAACTAAATAGATAAATCCATCGTAGTTGAGCATGGTAACACCTCTAATTCTGGTAGAGTCTTAAGAATCACTGTCAGGTCAGGGTCAACCTGAACTACACAGTGAGTTCCAAGTCTCAGCTAAAGAGCCAGAGGCTCAGAAAAGAAAACAAACCATTAAAACAAAACAAACAAGCAAAAAAACCTCCAACATTTTACAAAGGAAGGGCTGGAGAGATGTCTCAGTAGTTAGGAGCACTTTCTGTTCTTACAAAGGATTCCAGTTCTAAGTGTCTAACACTCTGTGTCTGACCTCTCTGGGCAATACACACGTGATACACTTACATACATGCAGGCAAAACAGTCACAGAAAATAAATGAATCTTTAAAAGGTACAGCAAAAGATCAGAGTCATGATCATTGAAAACAAAGACAGAAGTTAAAAGAGAAAAATGTAATAAAATGGGTATTGGCAAACCGCAGCCTCCACAAATACGGCTCACATGTTTATGCATTGCCTACATTTGTTTTCATGCAACAACAGCAGAACCCATAAAGCGCAGAAAAATGAAACTATTATCATACCCAATATGAAAAATATGCAAATTCCCATGAGAGCATAAGCCAGGGGTGGCAAAGCTGAGCAGACAATCAAGAGGAGGAGGAACTGGGAGAATAGTATTTTACGTTAGAAGCAGAACACTGGAAAAAATTCTGAAATTCAGTACTACTGAAATCCTCACAGATACCTGTAAGAGCACCTCCTAGCGCTGAATGTGCTAGACATTAAGAAAACTAATTACAGGGGGGTGGAGAGATACTTCAGAAGGTAATAGCACTATTGGCTCTTGCAGAGGACTTGAGTCAATTCCCAGCACCCCCACAAAGGCTCACATCCATATATGAAATCCAATGCCTTCTTCTGGCCTCCACAAGTACCAGACGCCAATGAGATGTGCACACTTCTATATGTAGGCAAGCCACTAATACATATTAATAACTTGCCTTAAAAAGAAATTAAGCTGGGAGGTGGTGGCACATGCCTTTAATCCCAGAATAAGTTTCAGGACAGGCAGCTATACAGGGACACTGTTTCAAAAAACGAACTCAAATAGTAATAATAAAAATAAAAGCAATAAATGAGAAAATCATATACCACATGCCAGATATAAGTCACAAATCATGGCACACATTTAGAATTCCTGTCACGGGGAGGGGGTGGTTGGGGCTAAATTAGGAAGATCACAAATTCAAAGATTGCCTGGGCTATTGTGGAGTTTAATAATAGTCTGGGCAACTCATTGTTTTTTTTTTTAAGATTTTATTTGTTTATTATGTATACAGTTATCTGCATGCATGCTTACACACCAGAAGAGGGCACCAGATCTCATCACAGATGGTTGTGAGCCACCATGTGGTTGTTGGGAATCGAACTCAGGACCTCTGGAAGAGCAGTCAGAGCTCCCAAGCTCTGAGCCATCTCTCCAGCCCGCTGGGCAACTCATTTTAAGATTTCATCTCAAAAAAAATGATAAAAGAGGGTAAATATATATAGTTCAAAGGGCAGACTGCTGCTTCACTAGCATGTATAAGCTTAGTAGTTCACTTTTTAGCACCATAGAAGACAAGATTAAAAACTATGTGAAGGCTAGGGATAGCTAAGTTGGTATACTCTTGCCTGGTACATATGAGGCACTGTGTTAGATCCCCAGAACCACTTAAAAAAAAATACTATCCTGGTCCTCTAATGTAGAAGTAGGAATGAGAAGTTCAAGGTCATCCTAGGCTACACAATAAGTTTAAGGCCTGCATGGGCTATATAAGATCCTGTTTCTTGAGGTAGGAGAGTGAATAGGTTCAAAATATATAAAAGTTCCCAAATAATTAAAGTAACATTTAAAAACTTCAAAACATCAAAAATTATAAAAAAAAAGGGATTATAAATTATAAACTACAGGAAATTAGGCATATTATTAGTGGCACATGCCTGTAATCCTAGTACCTGGAAGGATAAGGCAGGAGGATTATTAATTTGAGGTTGGATTGGACTTTGTAGCAAAACATTGTCTCAAATAAAAAAGAAAAACAAGCAAACAAAAAAACCAAATAAACACGTAATAAGTCACAAAGAAAAAGGATACTTGAAATAGCTCCATGAATATTAGTAGGGTAGCTCAGACAAAAAATCTGAAACATGAGACAATAAATTTCAAAATGGGACTAACATTAGTGGCTCAACCCTTAATCCCAGCCCTTAGGAGACTAAGACAAGAAAATTGCCATGAATTTGTGGCTATCATGGAATACATACTGAGACCCCTGAGACCCTAGGCTATGATACTTCCCAAGCTATTTTCCATCCCATGTCTTAAACCCCAATAAAAGTCAAATTCACAAAAGAAAACCATCAAACACCAAACATAGTTGCAAGTCAGTGTAAGAAACTCAAATAGCGGGGGCTGGAGAGATGGCTCAGCAGTTAAGAGCACCGACTGCTCTTCCAGAGGTCCTGAGTTCAATTCCCCGCAACCAGATGGTGACTCAACTATCCGTTAAAAGATCTGGTGCCCTCTTCTGGTGTGCAGATATACATAGAAGTAGAATGTTGTATACATAATAAATAAAGTCTTTAAAAAAAACAAAACAAAACAAAAAACTCAAATTGCTAGTAGCAGACCTCAATCCCAGCACTTAGAAGGCAGAAGCAGGCAGATCTCTGAGTTTTTGGACAGTCTGGTCTACAGACAGCTCCAGGATAGCCAGAGCTACACAGAGAAAACCTGTCTTGAAAATCAAAACCAACTAACCAAACAAAAGAAACTCAAATTGCCTTACATATTTGAGACCATGGGCTCCATTTCCTGCACGGCAAAACTAAAGGAGGGCCAGGGAGATGGATCAGTGGGTAAAGCCACTACTAATCATGTAAAAAGTTCGATTTGACTGGACCCATCTCTAATACAAGCCCCTGAAAGTGAGATGGAAAGTGCAGACAGTAAAACTGCCCTGAAGCTCCCAGGCAAACTAGGCTGGAGTGTACAGCAGTAAAAATGAGGACAAGAAAGCAGCATAAACAAGAGACACTGCCTCAGTAAGAGCGAAAAAACAAACTCTGTAAAGTTGTCCTTTTTTCTCTTCACACAAGTGAGTACCTGCACTCACTAACTCATTCAGAAATATAAACAATAAATAAAATGATTTTAAAAATAAAGAAATAATACAAATAAAATAAAATAGAGGCCGGGAGTGGTGGCATACGACTTAATTCCCAGCATTTGGGAGGCAGACACAGGTGAATCCCTGTGTTCAAGGGCAGCCTGGTTGACAGAGCTACTTCTAGGACAGACAGGACTACACAAAGATATCCTGCCTTGAAAAACAACAACAATTTTTTTTTTCAAAAAATCAGGAATAAAACACAAAGAGCCAAGAAACACTTTCCCTGTTTTATTTCATTAGCAATCAAAGAAATACAACCTACAACATTAAAGAAGATTATGTGTTGCTTTCACAAACACCAAAAAAGAAATTTTCTTTCCTTTTTTTGTGGTATTTTGGAGAACAGAATTATATCTTTCAGTGATGTTCCAGCCTCAGCCTCCCAACTGCTGGGATTACAGGTATGAGGCACTATATTCAGCTTGCAATTGGTGAATTTTTTTACAAAAATACTGAATATAGTGTACTAGTGTCAATGTGGAATGTGGTAATGCGTATTTTCATATTCACTAGAGGGACTGTACACTTCATCCAGTCTTAGGAAATAAGCATGCTATTTAATAACTGAACTACAAGGATGCTAACTGTAGCATTTTCTATTTAAACATAATTAAGGGAACAGCTTGGGCTGGGGGAATATTTAGAAAGTATGTTTGCCTATCTTGTAACAGTCTTAGATTCTATGACCAGCACAGAAGAAAAAAAGCAGGAAGAGAGAACAATAACTGAGATGATTCTAAACAGCAAATATAAATTAGTTTCCTTTCTCATAGGGTGGGATACTGTGTGCCAGTTTTAAAATGATGCCATTAAAACATATTTAATGGCATGCAATATGTTTGCAATCTTAGTTTGAAAAAGCAGGCAAAAATCTATCATTAATGATTCCATCAAGAAATGACAAAGACTGTCAGACTTACCCATCAAAAATTTGAAACTAGAAATAAACGACTAATGGATTACAAGGAGTAAAATTAAAAATAGCAAATTTAACAAAGTGAATTCATAAACTTTGGGAAATATGGAGGTTTCACTTAGAAAAGCTCTTGAATACAACAAATACCACAAAATAGCCAAAGGGAACAAGGTTGGTTACTTTTTTTTGTCCCCTTTCATTTGGGGGGTGGGCAACTATGCAGCCCTGCCTGGATCCTCCTGGCTCAGTCTCCCATGTGGTGGCATTACAGGAATGAGACACTACACTAGCAAAATGTTTCTCCCATTGTCAATAATCACTTACCTATTGGAGTGAGATACCTGTTCCTTTGTCCATGTCTCCTTCTGAGATATTCATGGAAGCATTAACTCCTCAGAATTCTGAAATAGTCAAATGTAAGGATTGACATAGTAAATCAAAGGCAATGTTCCAAACTTAACTATTAGGACAGTGCTATAACCAAAGAAAAGATTATGTATAATAAGATAAAATGTCCCCCACCAGCTCATGTGTTTGAACACTTGGTCCGCAGCCAGGGATGATTTGGTGGTGCTAGCGGTGTCTACGATATCTTGGATAAGTGAAGCTGCTAGAAGTGGGCTAGTGGGCCGGGCAGTGGTGGCACACGCCTTTACTCCCAGCACTTGAGAAGCAGAGGCAGGCAGATCTCTGTGAGTCGAGACCAGCCTGGTCTACAAGAGAAACCCTCCCCTTCCCCCAAATGAAGTGGGTTAGCGGAAGAAAATCTTAGAGGAAACAGTCCAGACTTACTACTTCTTGACCCTCTGCTTCAAGATGGAAGAAATAGGAGCCAAAAGTTGGCACAGCGGTACAGGAAGCATCAACCTATCCTCACTATGATGAACTATATTTTCTGAAACTGTAAGCCAAACAAATCCTTCCACGGGCTGGCAAGATGCCTCAGTGCATAAAAGTACTTGCTATCAATCCTGAGCATTAAAGTCCCATCCTTGCAACTCGTATGGTGGAAGAAGAGAACCTATTTCGAAGTCCACATGTGTACCATGTAATGTATATGTTCACACAAAAATAAATAAAGGAAAAAATACCATAAAAATCCTTCCTCCCTTAAACTTTTCTCATCAGGTATTATTGTCAAAATACTAAGGCAGGCAGGAGTGGAAATATTGCTCAGTGGTTAAGCACTTATCTAGTAGCTCCAAGGCCCTAGGGTTAATTTCCAGCCTGCAGGAAAAAGAATCATTTGTAAAGTGGTGGCAATGACTAATCAGGGCAAAACGTCACCTAAACCATTATCCTATTGGACTGATTTACAGCCATCTCAGAGTGCCTGTAACATAGTTCCTTATTGTGTTGTTTTCTTTTTATTGAAGACTGTCATGGGGCTGTAAGAAAACAAATGATGAAGCTGTAAGAGCAAAAATGATCAGAGTAGCCAGGTAGTGGTGGCGCATGCCTTTAATCCCAGCACTTGGGAGACAAAGGCAGAGGCCTGGTCTACAGAGCTAGTTCTATGACAGGCTTTAAAGCTAGATAGAGAAACCCGTTCTGGAAAAACAAAAAAACAAACAAACAAAAATGAAGAAAGAAAAGACAAAACCCATCTTTATTACAAGATTAAGAAAGTAGGTTCAAGCTAGAGAAACGGTTTAGCAATTAAAATTAAGACCAATTGCCGGTTCAGGAGGAAGATTAGAATCTCAACACCTACGTGGCAGCTAATCATCTACAACACCATTATAGAAGATCCAAGGCCATGTGTTAGATACTACATGTAGGCAAAACACTCTTACACATAAAATAAAAAGAAATCTTTTCCAAAAGGAAAAAAAATTTAAAGAGAACGAAAAAGCAGAAGAAAATTCACAAGGCCTCAATCAATCCTACACAAAGAATTGCAGCTAAGTTAAGAGATGCTGAGAGTGGGAGTAAAAAGTCCTCCACATGTTAGGATACACTATTTTGATATCTAATACCAAATTGTCAGTGCTGAAAACATACACATGAGCAATTTGTATTTAGGAACACACACACACACACACACACACACACACACCAGTTAAAGAAATAGAGGCAGGGCAGTGTTGCTCACAACTTTAATCCCAACACTTGGGAGACAAAGGCATTTGGATCTGTGAGTTCCAGGAAAGCCATGATAGTTACACTGAGAAACACTGTCAAAGGAAAAAAAAAAAAAAACAACAACAACAAAACAAAACAAAAAACCCCACAAAACCTGAAAATGCTGGGAAGTGCTAGCAAACACCTTTTATTCCAGCACTCAGGAGGCAGAGGCAGGTGGATCACTGTAAATTCAAGCCCAACCTGTTATACAGAGCAAGTTCCAGGACAGTCAGAGCTACCCTGTGTCAAAATACCAAAAGAAAGAAAAAAGCATAAATTGAAAAGAAGGCGTGTGTGTGTGTGGGGGGGTATATGTGATAAGACTTTAGGGAGAAAAAGGGAAGGAGGAAATTATAAAATTATATACTCAAAATTTTGAAGAGAAAGCAGAAAATGACAGTGTGGTGGCCCTCTACTAGTCATTACTTCCAGCACTGATAGGACATGGCAGAAATATTTGCAATCTACAAACAACATGGGTGAATAACAAGATGGGACCGCAAAACAAAACCAATAACTCAGATGGCTCAGTTGTTAGGGCTCTGGCTGATCTTTGAAAGGATCCAGGGTTAGATTCACAGCACCCACAGCCATCTATAACTCCAATTCCAAATGATCACATACACACTTTTGCCCTCCCTGTGCACCAGGCATGCACCTGGCATATATACACCTGTGCAAAATACTCATACACATAATAAAAAGAAGTAAATCTTAAAAAGTAACAACAAAAAATCTGGGCATTATGGAGCATGCCTGTAATTCTTGCACTTGGGAGGTGAAGGCCAGACTAAAGCACACAGTGAGACACGGTATTTTTAAAAAAACTAAATTAAAAAAATTAATAAAATAAAAATGATGAGCGGGGCATAGGGGTACAGTGACCCATGCTTTGAATCCCAGCTGCCCTTGACAGAAAGTAGTATAGAAGAGAAACTGCTATGAAGGATGTTAGATGGAAGAACAGTACCAGTTGCTCACTGAGCCTGGGGAAGGGAGGTATTCCTACATAGACTGTCCAATATGCTGGGGAAGGACAAAGGCAATTACATAGGAACAAATCAAAACTGGCTTTCTGACTCGTGATCCCAGTAGCAATTCACTTTGTACTCATGAACTGTATATTTTCTAAAGAATTCAAGGGCGTATACAGCACCATTCAAGGATGACTCCATGTTTATTAAACGCCAAATTCTAAAATACATATTTGTGTGTTTATGTATGTGGCATACCTATATGTATGCATATGCATGCATGTAAGGATTCAAGCATCATGCTGGCCTGCCCTGTCACCTGGCAGAATGCACTCAGGCAGTACTCTGGTCAGCCCAGGGATCCATGAGAATTAGTCTGCACGCAGACGCAAAGGACCCATGTTAAAGAAAGACCCCTGCCAGGCGGTGGTGACACATGCCTTTAGTCCCAGCACTCGGGAGGCAGAGGCAGGGGAATCTCTCACAGAGATTAAGACCAGCCTGGGCTATAAGAGTGAGTTCCAGGACAGCCTCAGAAGCCACGGAGAAGCCCTGTCTCGAAAAACAAACAAAAACGAAAAGACAGACCCCTGCCCACTTATATCTTTCCCACTCTCTCTTTCTGCTGTCTCTCCTGCCGTTGCCATGGGGTACCCAGGACTTTTCCTGTCTCCCTCTTCTCTTCTGTCCTCTCACTGTCTGTGTCTCTTTTCTCTTTCCTTTCCCCTTTCCTCCCCTTTCAAATAAAAGTTTTCACTGAGCTCTCTCTGCCTGGCGTGTTTGTTCCCCACCTGCATGGATTCCGACAAGGTCCATGCGCTTTGCCCGTGACTTGGCAGGCTTCCCTGGCATTTCCTCCTGCTCATGGCACCCTGTAACCTACAACTCTGTCACTTTTCCAACGAAGGATCTCTGGATTCTTCCATCCCCATCAACACCAGGTCCAGTAAGCCTAGCCCTTTCTCTCAACTCTGCCATGCTTCCATGAGTTAGGACTTGTATCGAGACCATTGTTTCTTCATTTTGGCCCAGTAAAAAAACCCAGTACTGGGTGACCAAGCCCTTGCCCTTGATGGACCACAAAATGGGACTATGCCTCCTCCCTTAGTATCTGGGATGCTGGAGATTATAGAGAGATGCCAGGGGCTCACAGCAGACTGGGTCTGCTTGGGACGTTTTATTCCACAAATAAGGTTTCCAGGGTTTACACCCTATCACCGTCCATATCTGCTGGTACATTCGTTTCTCCGCCACACAGGGGTCTCTTGTGTTTTATACCCTAGCACTGTCCATACTGACTAGTGCATTTGTTTCTCAGACCTATGGGGGTCTTTTTGGATGTTGTGCCTCTTGGTGTCATGTATCTTTCTGCCTTGCTTTTGTGGAATAAGCCAACAAAATTATATCTCAAAACTTTATGGGACCTTTCTAACTTCTGCCAGTGGAAGGAACCTGCTTATGACAACTTGACTGAGAGCAACCATGCGGCCTGGCTGGTGATCCGCCCATCCCATGGGTTACTCCCTTCTGTCAGCCTAGTCAGAGGGACAGTCTAGCCAGCTTCTGCTGACAAACCCTGCTGCCAGTCATAATTCATTTACATTTTTTTTTTTTTTTTTTTGGCTTTTTTTTTTTTTTTTTTTTTTGGTCTCTAATTTCTTTCGCTGGCTGTTTCATATGGCTTGTTTCCGTAATGGTGTGCCCTTCCAGGGCCCTGTAGGGCCCACATTTCATGCAAAAACCCTGCTTGTTCTATCTGCAGCGGATCTGCTTTCTTGTCACTGGCAGTTTGAAGTCTTCTCTGTCTCTTTAAATGGCCTGTCTGTTTGCTACAACATGAGAATCAGAGATCACACTCTGGTCCTTCCTTCTTACTTTTACCCAGGCCTGTTTAATATATATGTGTATGTGTACATGTAGCCACTCTTTAAAAATGTAAGCCAGCTTTAACTCTATGTATGTGTATCTCCTAGACTGAGGAAGCAATAAGTCTCAAATATTTCTAAATTGTTATATATTATACAATAAAAATTTAGTATTACAAAAGGGGATTTATCTTAATTTCTTTGTCCTTCACAGGCATATTTAAGTTACTAAGTTAAAACCAGTTCTAGTCTGACTGGAGGGCTCTGAGTAAACGATCCCTCCGCAACCTCACAGCTTCAATCCAGTTTGCCACACAGACCCTGCACTAATGTCATTATAGCCATACTAAGTACAGATTAATTATTTACAGGGATAAAGCGTTACGTAGCCACCTATGTGCCTAAGGCAAGTAACTAAAGACAAATTTTGTCTGCTGAGATATACTAGACAGCCCTCAAATGCTCAGAGATCTAGAGAAAATGACATTTAAAATGTTGTATTAAAAAGCTTTTCATAACAGAGAGACAGGCCAACCGCTGGTACCACCACATTTTCTCTAAGAAGACTGGTGGACACTGAAGAAACTCCAGCAACAAAAGTGGTAACGATAGCCACTGAGAAACCCTGTCTTTCACCTCATCTGCTATAAAGGACTCTTCGGACCGAAGACAAGAGTGCAGTGGAAACCGGGTGGTAGTGGCGGACGCCTTTATTCCCAGCACTTGGGAGGCAGAGGCAGAGGCAGAGGCAGGCGGATTTCTGTGAGTTTGAGACCAGACTGATCTACAAGAGCTAGTTCCATGACAGCTTCCAAAGCCACAGAGAAACCCTGTCTCAAAAAACTAAAAAGAGTACAGTGGAATAAGACTTTCTCCACCTTGCTTAGGCCAATGATAAGCAAGTATTCCTAAAACTCTTAAACCATAGGGCTCACTATCAGCAGAAGGTGGATGTCCTTAAAACCTCAACAACTATGTAGGACTCTGGGAGTGGCTGTCCACTTGGCCAACTAGTAAATCTCTGTCATTCTCTAATCATTAATCCAGGAAAAATTTTATCCTTCTCAAGAATTCTGATGCAGTTTAGGATGGCAGGTAGGTTTCAGTATAACTTCTTACTATTCCTCTGTTTAAAAAGATGTTTTAAGGTATAAAGTTTATGTAAGACCATAAAAAGTTAAGATGTATGAATCTAAAAATGTTTCTAGGCATAACAAAGTAACTTAAGGTGTACAATTACAAGTTATCAGAGTTCTTTCTCTCTCAATCAACTGTTCAGTTTTAACATTAATTAATAATTTTAATAAGCTACTAATCCAACTCTTACAGAGTAGAAAACACCAAACTATACCATTATATGATAACTGCAAGCTCAAAATTAAGGTGCTTTTCGCTTTGCTAAAGATATCTGTCAGTTTTAAGAGTGTTAATGTTTTCAAACAAAATCATTTCTGACATGAGTATACTGCCATTTCTATAATGTACAGATCATAAACAATGGAAATGCTAATGTGTCTAAAACTTCTAAGTTCCAGGGTCCTGAATTGGACTTACCCAGAAAGGTCAGTTTCACTCCAGATGAATAGCATTCACCCTTTCCCAGATCCCGTGACTCCCTTCCCTCATCTTGGGAACCCTCAGGAACCACTCCCTCATCTATGATCCTTCTTCCCTCAAGTACCAGGACCTAAGAAAATGTTTTTTCTTAAATTTAACCATGTCCTCTGCTCTGCCAAGATCTTGCCAGGTCTAAGAGGCACCAGAGAGTTCCATACAGCCTGGACTGTGATGAAACACCAGCTACCCCAGCTTCCTCAGGTCCCCCAAAGATGGTCGACATTCCCCCCCCCCCAAGGTCAGCAGGAAGTAATCTTGAGAACTCAAGGCCCTTATTCCCTTACCTGCCTCACCTAACTCTTTTACCTTTTTAATAACAATCATGGGAATGTAAAAATTCAGTCATTATGCCGGTCTGCCCCTGTCACCTGGCAGAATGCACTCAGGCAGTACCCTGGTCAGCCCAGGGTTCCATGACTAGTCTGGACGCAGGTGCCAAGGACCCCTTTCAAAGACAGACCCCTGTTCACTTACACTCTTTTCCTCTCTTCCCCACTCTCTTTCTGCTCTCTCTCTCTCCTGCCGTTTCCCTGGGGCAGACAGGATTTTTCCTGTCCCCCTCTTCTCTTCTGTCCTCTCTGTGCCTCTTTTCTCTTTCCTTCCCCCTCCCTACCCTTTCTAATGAAACTCCTCACTAAGATCTGTCTGCCTGGCATGTTTGTCCCCCACCTCAGTCACCCTTGCCTGCCATGGAATCCACCAAGATCCCCCATGTGCTATCATAACAATGATACATGGGAAATGTGCACAGAGGCCAGACAGAGGGAATCAAGAGTCCTACTCCATTATTCTCTACTTTATTCTTTGACACATGGTTTCTTAATGAACCTGGAACAAACTTGGAGGTAGCAATCCCTACTGATCCTCAAGTCTCTCATCTATAGGACTGGGGTTACGTGTTCTCATGGCCATGTTAGGCTTCTTTTTAGATTTTATTTTATTTTTTGGGTTTCAAATACTGCGTTGTGTGTGTGTGTGTGTGTGTGTGTGTGTGTGTGTGTGTGTGTGTGTGTGTGTGCTTTGGCATGTGAGTCCATGGCAGTGAGAAAAGGGTACTAGATTCCCTGGAGCTGGAGTTATAGACAGCCTAACATGGATACTAGGACAAAGCTCTTATCTATTACAAGTGCAGCAAGCCTTTTTTAAACTGCTGAGCCATCTCTCTAGAGCCCACACCCAGTGTTTTATATAGGCCTTGAGGACAGAAACTGCATAGCAAGTGTTTATCCAGTGAGCCATCCCCAGTTCCCAAAATTCTATTATTTGAAAATGTAAAAGTAGGGCTAGTGTACAGTAGTAGAGTACCTTGGGTCCCCACCCCAGCACTACCAACAAGAAAATTAAAAAAAAAAAGTCAAGATGTCAAGCCTGAGCCGGGCACTGGTGGCGTGTGCCTTTAATCCCAGTACTCGGGAGGCAGAGGCAGGTGGATCTCTTTGAGTTCCAGACCAGCCTGCGCTACAAGAGCTAGTTCTAGGACAGTCTCCAAAGACACAGAGAAACCCTGTCTCGAAAAACCAATAAATAAATAAATAAATAATAAAAAATAAATGAATAAATAAAATGAAAAGAAGTCAAGCCTCGGGCTGGAGAGATGGCTCAGAGGTTAAGAGCACTGACTGCTCTTCCAGAGGAACTGGGTTTGATTCCCAGCACCCACATGGCAGCTCACAACTGTCTGTAACTCCAGTTCCAGGGAACCTGATACCTTCACACCAATGCACATAAAATAAAGATAAATAATTTATTTAATAAAAAAGTATGTCAAGCCTTGTGGCAAAGGCCTGTAATTGCCTATAATTCCAACTACTTGGGAAGTTGAGGAAGGAAAAAAAAAAAAAACATGTTTAAGTTTGTTGGGGCTACAGAGTGAATTTAAACCAGCCTGGACAATTAAGTGGCATCCCTGTCTCAAAATAAAAATAACTAACGAATTAAGTAAAGAGGTCACTGGTATAGTACATGCCTACCATGCAAAAGGCTCCAGGGTCATTCTCTAGTACCACTAAAAACAAGCAAACAAAAAACCACATTAAAAAACTTAAATAACTGGGCACATCTTTAATCCCAGCACTTGGAAAGGGAAAGGCAGTCAAATTTCTTTTGAGTTCAAGGCCAGCATGTTCTACAAAGTGAGTTCCACGACACCAGGTGTTTCACAGAGAAAACCTGTCTCAAAACATCAAAACAAAAACTGAAATAGAAGATGGGGCTGAAAAGATGGCTCAGTGGTTAGATTCCCAGCACCAATGTGTTGGCTGAGAATTGTCTATAACTCTAGTCTTAGGAGATTCAGCCCCATCAGCTTCTGGACTCTACTATACATGCATGTAGTATCGACATACATGCAGGCAAAAGACCCATACACATAAAATAAAGAACAATTTCTAATGAAAATGAGAGGGCTGTGGGTGTAGCCAGTGGCAAAGCATGCACATGAGATCTGTTTGGTCTTCAGCATTCTGGGGATGGTGGAGTGGAACTGGAACTAAGTTCAGTGAGAGGCTGTTTGCCTAGCATGTCTTTGAAGATCTAGGTGCAATATACAGAACCACTGTGGGTGTGTGCAGCTTGGTTGTTTAACATGAGGTCCTGTGTTAAATCATCATGGAATTATGCTTTTAAGTCCTAATTCTAACTAATCAGAACCCTGATTGTGGTTCGTACCCTTACCATCTCTATAACAAAATACCAGAGACAAACAACTTAAAAGGTGAAAGAAGGTTTATTTTGACTCACAGTTTCAAAAGTTATAGTCCATGGCCAATTGGCCTGTTCCCTTCAGCCTATGGCAAGGAAGATCATCATGACAAAGAACACAAGGTAACGTTCCAGGAGATCCAGGGCTACAGAGAAACCTGGTCTCAACCCCTCCTCCCCAAAAGAAATGGCATTTCTAAGAGTCTCCCTAACCAGAAGTGAGATCAGAGTCAGCCTTTATTTTCCTACTTACCTTACTTAACTGTGTTACCTTTATCACTGAGGGGAGAACCCTCCTCTTCTCTTTTGAGGTCACTCATAGGATCTGGCAAACTCTACAACCTTTTTTTAAAGATACCTTCCCCAGAGGCAGAGATACAGTTCAGTGCTAGAGCAATTGTTTAGTATGTCCATGATCCTGGGTTTGAGTCTAGCCAAAAGAAGAGCAACAAAAAGATAGTCAGCCACTATCCACAATTTCCCACACTCAGCTAGACTGGCCATCATTTCATAAAGAGGCAATGGCAGGTATTAATAGTGGCTGAGATGGGCTGGTGAATACCTGTAATCCTAGCACTCAGGAGGAAGTAGTTAAGGGATTGCCAACTTTGAAACCATGGTGGACTAAAGTTCCAGGTTAACCTGGGATACAGAAATCATGTCAAATCTTTAAAAAGAAACAAACAAACAAACAAACAAGTGGAAAGAAGAGAGGAAAACACGAGATACTGTTTGGTTTAACTCAATTTTCTTGTTACTGTAGCCAATGATGGCCTCAAACTGGTAATCTTCCTACCTCAATCCTGCTGGGTTTAATGCCACTCTGCTTGGCTAACTTCATTCAATGCAATTTCATATCATAGAGGGGAAAATCCTGCTGGGTGGTAGTGCATGGCTTTTATCCCAGCACTACGGAAACAGAGGCATACTGATCTCTGAGTTCTAGGACAGCCTAATCCAGAGTTAATTTCAGGATAGCCAGAGCTACAGAGAAACCCTTTCTTGAAAAATCAAAATAGACAAAGAAATTTTTAAAAAGGGGATCCAATATAACATTTATAATACATTTAGTATTTAGCCATTTATCCTACCTCACAAAAAAGAATGTATCTTAAGGACAGGGCCTTGTTCATACTTAGAATAATATCGGGTACTTAGTAAGTACTTAGTATGTGTTGAAAAAGGCTGAAAATGCCACATGGTGATTACTTTCCTTGTTACCAAATGAGAAACCTAACCAAAAGTATTAACAACTTACCAAGGCTTTCCAACTGTCTCCCAAAGGTGTCTATCCATGGAAACAATTGATTCATCCTGGTGTGCTGGCAAATCTTGAGTAGGACAATCTGAGGGGCAGACCTTAGAAGTTTATCTTAACCAACGACAAAATTCTGGCTTCCCAGCAATCTGCATGTTCAACAAGCATCCCAGAGTGATTATGTAATCAGATTTTATATAACAGTAGTTACCCTCATCAGGAAAGTATAATCTCAGAAACTGGGACTCATGCTTTTACCAGGGATAGGGAGGCTGAGGCAGAAGGACTGACATGTCTTAGACCAGCCTAGGCTACATATTGAGTTCCCGACCACTCCCCCCCCACCCCGCCCCGCCAAATCCCAAGGCAATAATAATCTTTAAAATGATAAAATAAAATGATATTTTAGTGGGCATTCAAATTTATTTTTATGTAGATAGATTTGAATTCAAATCTATATCCATAACTATAATCTTGGCATATTTCCAATTTCACCAACTATAAAAATGGAAAACAAATGGGAAAAGGTTAGGTTTATTCCTTAGTATAGGGTGAATATTTTATTTTCACATAATGGGTAAATGTGAAGTAACTATCTGATGCCTGGTGAGACCACCTTCCCTGTCCTTCTCATTAACTAGTCAAGCCCTGTAGAGACACTGAATCACTTACCCAGATTTTATCACAATTTTAAATCACATTCTTAATAACTTCACTGGACCAAAAGGCTCAATGTATCTCTTCACAAGCAGCATAATTTCTGACTGCATTCTCTAGAGATAGGAAAAAGTAACAAATTAAGATGAACATTCAAGGTTTGGAATCCAACTTTACTTTTATTTTTACCTCCTTTGGTATCCACGTAGCCCACCAACCTTCTCATTTTTCCCTCCCTCTGCCCCCTCTCACCAGGGTAGTTTGAAATCTTAGTTTACTCCGTGGCACAACAAATAAATGAATAAATGCATTTAATGCTTATAACTAAAACCAGTATTTTTATACTTACTATACTCATTTTTGTCTTTATTTTTATTTTATGTGCATTGGTGTTTTTTCTTTCTTTCTTTTTTTTTGTATTTTTTTTTTTTTTTGGTTTTTCGAGACAGGGTTTCTCTGTGTAGTTTTGGAGCCTATCCTGGCACTCCCTCTGTAGACTGGGCTGGCCTCGACCTCACAGAGATCCGCCTGCCTCTGTCTCCTGAGTGCTGGGATTAAAGGCATGCGCCACCACACCCGGCTGTGCATTGGTGTTTTATCTGCATGTACATCTGTGTGAGAGTGTCAAATGCCCTGGAGTTGGAGTTATAGATAGTTGTGAGCTGCCATGTGGGTGTTTAGGAATTGAACCTGGGTCCTCTGGAAAAGCAGTCAGTGCTCTTCACCACTGAATTATCTCTCCAGTCACCCATTTTTTAAAAATCTTATCCCTTGATGCATGTATAGAATATTTTGATCATTTTATTCCCTTACCTTCCTCTCCTTTCTATGCTCCCTGTACTTCTTCCCTGAAAAGCCCCTCCTCCTTTCATGTTACTTGTTTTTAATGTGTAAAGCTAACTTTGGATAGGCAAAGTGGCATTGGTCTGTAATCTCAGCATTCTAGAGACTGAGGCAGGAGGGTTACATGGGAGACCAGCATGAGCTACAAATGAGACTATCTCAAAAACTCCCTAAAGGCTAGAGGACTGAGATTAGGGGTAGACTGCTTGCCAAGCACACATAAGACTAAATTTGTCTTCTAGCACTCCAAAAGGGGGGAAAAAAGTTAAATTTGGGTAGAGGTACCAAGTAACTATACTAAACTGAAAATGAATGTGAACTCTACACCTTACATTCAAATCTTTCCTCTGTGGCTTCAGTAGCCCTTGGGATCTTTGAATGGGGACCATCTTTCTTTTTCTTTTCTATCTGCAGTCTAGTAACCTCCATTCCATATTCCATATTCTGACCAAAATAGCCCAACACAACATGTGATGGTATTTGTATGGTATCCCCAGCATACAGAAGGCTGAGGCAAAAGGCAGTGGTGGCGCACACCTTTACTCCCAGCACTCAGGAGGCAGAGGTAGGTGGATCTCTCTGAGTTTGAGGCCAGCCTGGTCTATAGAGGGAGTTCCAGGACAGCCAGAGGTGTTACACAGAGAAACTGTCTGGAAAAACACCAGCACTCGGGAAGCAGAGGCATCTGGAGGGAGTTCCAGGACAGCCTCCAAAGCCAAAGAAACCTTGTCTGGAACACACACACACACACACACACACACACCCTGCAAAAAAAAGCAAAAACAAACAAAAAACCCCACTGCATCTTCATAATTATATCACCTTTCCAGTTATTTAGTATTAAATGAAAAACAGCAGCCGGTCAGGTTATCAGAAGTGGCTAGTCTCCTAATCTCCAGACTCCTCAATGGTGGAATAACTGGGAGATAAGATGTCAAAGGAAAAGCCAAAGAATCCTACGTATCCATGGTTCTAAGGGGGCATCCTATTACTTGTATGTTTACAGTTCCTGGGAGCTTAACATAAAATGCTATTCAAAAATCCAGCAATTCGGCAAAATGCAGGCTATTGACCTGTCATTAGATGTTGGTGGCACCAGCAAAAAATGCTAGGTTTCTTCTGTCTTCATCAGACGAAAGAAATCCCCTAAACCTCAGGCAGGCCAAGTAGCAGATTCAGAGTGTTCAAGTTGAATAGTGTCACAACCACCTACCACCAGTCAAACACTATCAGTTTTCTAGGGTAACAGTGGCCAGGAAACCCTGAGTGAAAGTTCTCTCATCATAAATGGGGGCAAGTCTGCTGCCTAGCAGATCTGGGGGCACAGAAAACACCTTAAGGAGTTTGAGTTCTTCCTTTATTAGGCAAACTAAAGCTATTTACTACATTAATTTCTGTGTAGCCATACGCAGCAGCTGCTATTCTGTTATTATAGTGTGTTTATCCCATAGAGCCAAGGGTGGGAGAAGGAATGTGGACATGACTGAACAGGTAAATAAATGTTAAGTATAAACTGTAGTCAAATGCCTGCACTTGCCTAGTTGGTAGTACCTTTCTCTTAGGGGAAAAAAAGGAGAGCTCCCTTCTGCTATGCTCCAGGCCAGCTCTTTTCTAAATGACTATCTTCAGCCTCCAAGTCCTGCAACCATCTCTATTACTCCACTTCTGTGGAGGTTGCTTCATTGAAGAGTAAAAAAACTTTGTCAGATGCAAAACCCCTAAATTTTAAAACAAACCTTGCTTCAGGAAACAGATTTGTGTACCTATGTCCACTCAAATCCAAGGCACCACCAAGCAATAATAAAACTTCATCTCATTGTGAGTAGAGACTGAGGGTCTGGGTCAGTATTAAGAGTACCAGGCTGAATGTATATAAGGCCTTATCCAATCCCTTGTAAAGTAAGAAAAATAAAGCCATCTATAATCCAAAAAAATCCCAAACATGTGATATATTTTTCCTAACTACTTTGATATGTAAGTATAAACAGGAGCTCTGATTTTATAAATTACATGAACTATACTTACTCTTCTACAGTCATTTTCTTAGATTACTATAATGTAATCTAAGTCAAATATTCACATGAGACCCAGGTAACCCAGGCTACCCTTAAACTATGTAGCAAAGGTGACTCCTGATTATGCTGCCTCCACTTTCCAGGTGCTGGGATTATAGGTATGGGTCACCCACCATACTCCACTTATTACCATAATTTATTGTTATAGAACTAATGTTCCCTTTTCCATTGAGAAATCACTCCACACACTTAAGAGATTAGGAAAAGCTCTTTAATAGCACTCATCCAGAGAGGAGCCTGCCTTAAATAGATTTTGCTAACTTATATACACCTTAGGCTTATGCATTCCACATATGATGTCATCCTTAAACTTCTTTTCCACCCCAGTCCCAGGTGACAATTTGAATATAAACAGAGACTGGAGATTCAGTCTGGCCACTTGGGCAATGGGAAATTTATACAGCAAAGATAGTGCCAGGATAATTCTTTCCCTTTTTTTGTAGGGTGTGGTGGTGGTGTTCTTTTCAAGACAAGATTCAGGCTGGCCTTGAATTGGTCTCTGTCTCCTGAGTACTGGGACATAATGGGTATGTGCTACCACTGTCCACTTAGCCAGAATTATTTCTTTTTCTTTTTTTCTGAATTATTTCTTAAATACACAAATACTTTCTTTTCAAATACCCAGGGTGTTCTGGGTAACAAGCAGAATTAAGCTTTTCCCAAGAGATAACATGGGACGTGGACGGGCGGGTTCACATTGTCTGTGGTCCTGCACTGCCCCCTTGAGTTGTCAGAGGCAAGCTCTTTGGGAATGCCCTAGTTTCTGGTCTTAAACAGGATTGTCTCCTTTATTATGGAAATTGGCATTAAAAGATGGTCCATCCTGGCGAATAAACATTTACACTTGACGGGGCAGGGGGTGGTGGTTGCACAAGCCTTTAAACTTTAATCCCAGCAGAGGCAGGAGGATCTCTGAGTTTGAGGCTAGCTTGGTCTCCAGAGCAAGTGCTAGGATAGGTTCCAAAGGTGCACAGAGAAACCCCCGTCTCGAAAAACCAAAAAAGACAAACCAAACCAAAAAAAAAAAAAAAAAAAAAAAAAAAAACCCCAAATTTCTACATTGATTTATTTTGGATAGATTCTCATCAAGTAGTCTTTGCTAGCCTAGAGCTTGCTGCATAGATCAGACTGTACTTGAACTCTTAGAGACCTATTTCTGTCTCCCAAGTGCTGGGAATATAATTTTTAGTGGCTTTTTTTTATTGTGCACAAACACAAATTTATTTAATAGAATTCCTACTCATCAATAGGTTTTTCCATTATTACTGCTATCAAAAATGTGAACATGCACATCTGTAAATGTTATTTCGGTATTTATGTCCCTAACATACTTGGAGATATATATCAATGAACATAAACCTTTATTGCAAGAGAAATAAAAATAAAAAGGGGTGACTGTTAAATGGTTTTTGCTCCTCCATTTAAATTAAAATGGCAAACACAGAGGTAACCAGAGCTCAAGATAAAAATAAAAGCATTCTGGATTGTGCTTTTTTTCCCCTTTGTTTCTAGAGACAAGGTTTTTCTGCTTAGCCCCAGCTGTGAAAATTGGCCTCTGCCTGCTTCTGCCTACCTAGGAGTGCACCACCTCCTGCTGGCTTTGAACTCTTTTCTAATTGATCAAAGGAAAACTAGTAGCAGGGTAAATTTAAAATCCTATTACTAGACTTTCAAATGCTAATTACACCTTTATTGGCATTAGAGACCCATTTGCCCTACAGACAGAAAAAGAATGTATCTCCCTTGTAAAAGGTACAAAGGTATGTTTTAGCAGCTTTCCTTTCCTCCTACTATTTTTGGCAAACAATGAGCAGAAGACATTTCTTTCAAAAGCAAAATGGTTGCTTATCTAGCTACTCTGTGTAATCCTTTCTGGGTGAATCTGCTCTTAAATATTTACTTAGGCTATGCTAATTAGTATTCCTCTCAGTTTGGAAGATACAGGTAAGAATCGGAAGAAGTTCTTTCCCTCCACCTTGATGAATCAGATACAAGAGAATAAAACAGTAAGCTTTTGGTTTTCCAGACTGGGTGTAATAGCCCGGGCCCTGGCTGTCCTGGCACTGGCTCTGTAGATCAGGATGGCCTTGAACTCACAGGTATCCGCCTGCCTCTGTCTCCCGAGTGCTGGGACTAAAGGTGTTCACCACCATCTCCTGACATATAAAGATTTTTAAAACCCAATGATCAGGAATGAATAAGATAAAGCAAATGCAGCAAAATGTTCTGTAATAATGTAGGAATTAGACTGTGGGTACCTGAAAACATTTGTAATAAAATGGAAGAAACCCCCCAAGCAGTTTGAAGAATAAAAGTGTAAGGCCCATCCCCATTATACTTCTAGAATGAACTCATGACAATGTAAGCCTATGTCCCACAATGTTCCTCCATGTGGTTTTCTTTTGGTGCAAGGGATGATTGAGTAAACCCTTGCAGCCAACACTGACTCAGATCTTCAACCTCAACCCCCATTTTAGGGTGGGATTTTGTTGTTTTTAATGTTTGCTTTGGTAATAGTGATAGTCAAACTCAGGGCCTTGGACTCCCACAAAGCTATATCCTCAGGCAGAGTTTGTTTGTTTTTTGTTTTAATTTTTTTTACCTTTCTTACTTCTGACGTATAGCCCTTTAACTATTTAGTGTAGCAAAATGAGCACAACAGACTCTTAGGGAAAGCACTAAAACAGTGCTTTTGCCTTGGGCCAGGGGCAGGCTAAAGTCTATTAACATCCCAGCTGACTAGCAGAATCTGAGTAAGTGAATTACTTCACACTCCTGGCTTCTCTGGTTAAAAATTAGAAACTTAGATCAGGCCTCCTCCTGGCACACCATCTGGCCCAGCATCTCTAGCTGCTATCTCCACTTGCTATGGAGCAACTGCTCCTGTGCCACAGATGAATCCAGTTCTTTTGCCAGCTTCTACAAGGAGAGCTGCTACTTGAAGTTCACCCAGGAGGGCTTCTACAAAGAGGCTTTATACTGGCCCTGGTGGGGAGGGTGGGGGGTTGGTGGCACACACCTTCAATCCCAGCACGAGGGAGGCAGAGGCAGGTGGATCTCTGTGAGTTCAAAGCCAGCCTGGTCTACAGATGGGAGTTACAGGACAGCCTCCAAAGCAATACAGAGAAACCCTGTCTCAAAAAACAAAAAACAAAAACAAAAAAAAACACGAAAAAAACAAAAACAAAACAAAAAAAAACCTCACCAACACACCAACAACAAAAAACTAAGAGGCTTTATACAAGTGCAGCAGTTGTGCATGAAGCAGAGACATCTCTGCATCCAGACATAGAGAATGTGTATAGACCTGCACTTACAACCCTGACCCATTCTCCACACCTCTTTCTATAAAGCATGTAACTGATAATAAATGTGTTGACATGATTTAAACAGGAAAATCGGTGCATTAGAAAGTTAGGGGCTGGAGAGATGGCTCTGGCAGGTAAGAGCACTGGCTGCTCTTCCCAGCACCCAAATGGTGGTTCACAACCTACTGTAACTCCAGTTCCAGGAGACCCAGTATATTTTTTGATATCATCGGGCACTGAAGGAACATGGCACACACACACACTTGTAGGCAAAAAACCCATACTCATAAAAATAAAGGTCAGCATAATTAATTGTCAGGCCAAGTAGCCCATGCTTGCAATCCTAGCACTTTGGAGGCTGAGACAGGAGGATCAGGAGTTTGAGGCCAGAACCTATCTCAAAAAGGTAAATTCTTCTTTTAAAGGGGGGGGGGGAGTGATGATGTAGTTCAGTTGGTAAAGTATTCATTTAACATGCAGGAAGCACTAGGTTGCACTGCTAGCATTGAATAAAAACAACAAAACAGGAACGGTGGCACAAACCTGTAATTCCAGCACTTGAGCAGAAGCATGGCATATGTCAGTCATCCTCTGGTACAGCTCAAGTTCAAAGCCAGACAGCTAGGGTTCTAAGCACCAGATCTAAACAAAACAAAGCAAAAGCTTTAGTGCTCACCCACTAACAGTAGACACAGTTGTAAGTCATTGGGACAGCACTTGGGTAGCATGTCTATCATGTACAAGGGCCTACTTTCCATCTCCTGGCATTGCTAAACCAAAAACCCAACCATAGAGACCAAAGTCGAAATATTTGCCTCAGCCTACTTTTCTTCTGTCCTCCTCCAGAGTCCTTCCTTTCTGCATTCTCACTGCAAATTCATGGGGTGGGCAGGGAGGCAATTGGGAAGGCATCTAGGCTTGCTATGTCCACATGCTTCAAGTCATTATTAAGGATGTATTTTAAAGAGGAAGCAGGCCATCCTTTTGCAATGCACTAAATAAAACTATTCTTCCTGGAAGAAAACAAAAGAAAAATGAATGTCTAGAGTTAGTGCTCAAAAATAGATCCTTGAAGGGCAATTAGTAACTATAGGACCCTGAGAACTCTTCTAGTATATCTAAAACAACAAAAGACTTGCCAAAAGCAATACTGAGTTTCTTCCCTCCCCCATTTTTTTGTGGGGGTGTTATTCTGTATGTATCTCAGGCTAGCTTCAGACCTTTGGTGATCATCCTGCCTCAACTTCCAAATGCTGTGGTTACTAAATGGTGATGAAGATGTTCTAAACAGCTAAACAGAGGCAGGTGGTAGTTGTACACAGCAACTACCTTTAGTCCCAGCAGTAGGGAGGCAGAGGCAGGCATATCTCTGGGAATTCGAGGCCAGCATGGTCTACACAGTGAGTTCCAGCACAAGCTCCAAAGCCAGAGAAACCCTGTCTGGAAAAACCAACAAACAAAACAAAACAACCCCCAAACCAAAAACCCCAAAAAACAAAACAAGCAAAAAAAAAAAAAAACAAGCAAAAAAACAAGAAAAGTGTGTGTGTGTGTGTGGGGGGGGGGGTTCTTTTCTGATCTCTGGTGAATGAAGTGGGGGAACATAAAACCTTAGCTAAAATATCCAGAGACAAAAATGTTTGGCTCATTCCAACAGAAAAGTATCTGCAAAAAACGGGGATCCCAGGAG